TTCTGTCATCTGATACCATTGAGAACAGTCTAGAGCCATCCTCTTTGGAACCCCCTTTCAGGTAGTTGAAAGCAGCTATCAAATCCCCCCTCATTCTTCTCTTCTGCAGGCTAAACAATCCCAGCTCCCTCAGCCTCTCCTCATAACTCATGTGTTCCAGACCCCTAATCATTTTTGTTGCCCTTCGCTGGACTCTCTCCAATTTATCCACATCCTTCTTGAAGTGTGGGGCCCAAAACTGGACACAGTACTCCAGATGAGGCCTCACCAATGTCGAATAGAGGGGAACGATCACATCCCTCGATCTGCTCGCTATGCCCCTACTTATACATCCCAAAATGCCATTGGCCTTCTTGGCAACAAGGGCACACTGCTGACTCATATCCAGCTTCTCGTCCACTGTCACCCCTAGGTCCTTTTCTGCAGAACTGCTGCCTAGCCATTCGGTCCCTAGTCTGTAACGGTGCATTGGGTTCTTCCGTCCTAAGTGCAGGACCCTGCACTTATCCTTATTGAACCTCATCACATTTCTTTTGGCCCAATCCTCCAATTTGTCTAGGTCCTTCTGTATCCTATCCCTCCCCTCCAGCGTATCTACCACTCCTCCCAGTTTAGTATCATCCGCAAATTTGCTGAGAGTGCAATCCACACCATCCTCCAGATCATTTATGAAGATATTGAACAAAACCGGCCCCAGGACCGACCCTTGGGGCACTCCACTTGATACCGGCTGCCAACTAGACATGGAACCATTGATAACTACCCGTTGAGCCCGACAATCTAGCCAGCTTTCTACCCACCTTGTAGTGCATTCATCCAGCCCATACTTCCTTAACTTGCTGACAAGAATACTGTGGGAGACCGTGTCAAAAGCTTTGCTAAAGTCAAGAAACAATACATCCACTGCTTTCCCTTCATCCACAGAACCAGTAATCTCATCATAGAAGGCGATTAGATTAGTCAGGCATGACCTTCCCTTGGTGAATCCATGCTGGCTGTTCCTGATCACTTTCCTCTCATGCAAGTGCTTCAGGATTGATTCTTTGAGGACCTGCTCCATGATTTTTCCAGGGACTGAAGTGAGGCTGACTGGCCTGTAGTTCCCAAGATCCTCCTTCTTCCCTTTTTTAAAGATTGGCACTACATTAGCCTTTTTCCAGTCATCCGGGACTTCCCCGGTTCGCCACGAGTTTTCAAAGATAATGGCCAATGGCTCTGCAATCACAGCCGCCAGTTCCTTCAGCATTCTCGGATGCAACTCGTCCGGCCCCATGGACTTGTGCACGTCCAGCTTTTCTAAATAGTCCCTAACCACCTCTATCTCCACAGAGGGCTGTCCATCTCTTCCCCATTTTGTGATGCCCAGCGTAGCAGTCTGGGAGCTGACCTTGTTAGTGAAAACAGAGGCAAAAAAAGCATTGAGTACATTAGCTTTTTCCACATCCTCTGTCACTAGTTTGCCTCCCTCATTCAGTAAGGGGCCCACACATTCCTTGGCTTTCTTCTTGTTGCCAACATACCTGAAGAAACCCTTCTTGTTACTCTTGACATCTCTGGCTAGCTGCAGCTCCAGGTGCGATTTGGCCCTCCTGATAACATTCCTACATGCCCGAGCAATATTTTTATACTCTTCCCTGGTCATATGTCCAACCTTCCACTTCTTGTAAGCTTCTTTTTTATGTTTAAGATCCGCTAAGATTTCACCATTAAGCCAAGCTGGTCGCCTGCCATATTTACTATTCTTTCGACTCATTGGGATGGTTTGTCCCTGTGACCTCAACAGGGATTCCTTGAAATACAGCCAGCTCTCCTGGACTCCTTTCCCCTTCAAGTTAGTCCCCCAGGGGATCCTGGCCATCCGTTCCCTGAGGGAGTCGAAGTCTGCTTTCCTGAAGTCCAGGGTCCGTATCGTGCTGCTTACCTTTCTTCCCTGTGTCAGGATCCTGAACTCAACCAGTTATATAGAAGTTATATATGGAGTTATATAGAAGACAGTGACAAGAAACTTGACCTTGATGCAGTGGGAGATAGTGTCGGGATTCAAAGACAGGGTGACATGGATAAAAAATTAAGCAAAGAAGATAGTCATTAGTGGGTGAGTTTTGTAATGTCTGGAGCGGGGGTCATGTGGGCATTTGGGTGGCGTACATTGATAAAGATGGGAAATGATGAGGAACTGAACTTATGACCATAATGAGGAGTTAAAAACCATTTGATACTAAACACTGATGGCTGAGAAGTTTAGAATGTAGGATTTGTTGTTGGTACAAAACTAAGATGTTGCTTGTCTTACATTGAGGTAGATTTTCAAAGAGATGAATGGATTTTTAGTTACATGACATCTCTTGTCTTAAAAACTTAAACTTAAAAACTTACCAATTTTGCCTTACATAAGTATATATGGTTACTTTCGTATCTGCAGTATTCCCTTTTACTTCCTCTTATATACTACACAGAATACCTGGAATTCAGTAAATATGTATGTAAGTTATTTAAACCATTATCTAAGGCAACTGGTAGGTTTTTATGAGTAATCATCTTATTAACTCAAACTGCTCCTAACAGAACACTTGCCCTATTCCGTTCACATTAAAATGCTCTTTAGGAAAAACCCCATATGTGCTTTTAATTGGACTGTACAGCTGTAAATTAGATTGTCACTTGTTGTTGTATATTGGCATTCTGATTAAAACAGTATCCACACATTCTCAGGGAATCATTTCCAAGGTAATTTTCATTTTTCAAATCGACAGGATTCTCCTCATAGGGAGCGGTGCAGTCTTGTTTCAGCTAGTTAGTAAAATAACATGTTCTGGTATTGCAAGGCTATTTGTGATTTAAATCAGCTCTGTCTTGGTTCCTAGTGTTCAAGCCCATTACAGAAGCAAACAAACACACACTTCATGACATGCATGTTGAAACAACTGGCAAATTCCTTGTCTTTCAAGGACATCTATAGAGCAGATAAATTGTAATTTCTAACTGTTGCTGAAAACATATCACTAGTGATGAACACCATGAAACAAAATACTCTCACAGCTTTCTCAGGACAAATTGGGAATAAACAGCTTGCAGTGATTCTCAGAAAGGCTGTTTGGGATGACATACAATATTTGGGGTGTTACAGCTTTCTCTTAGTTAAAGTATGACTCTCTCTTTAAAATGTTAGCATCTTCAGTATACAGTACTTAATTATCTAGTAATCAGTTTAATTTTATTTATCCAGCAACTTTTGCCTCCATGGGTGCCAAATGTAAGTTTATGTGCAATAAATAGTCCAACAGGGGAATAGATCAGCACTAATATTTCAAATGCAGCTTAGTTAAGGTAGATGTGAATTTTTTCCTCCTTATTTAGTGTTGTGATATGGACTTCTGGAATCTAATCAGAAATCAAGACAATTTGATTTTTCAAAATTAAGTAGAGGTAACTAGGAATGGGAGAATTAGTTGTATAAAATGAATAACCCAGTCTGAAATAATGGGTTCCAGACTCTAGAACAGAACTCTACGGTTGTGGTTCATGTTCTGTTTAGTTCTGCCTTAAACATGAGATCTGAGCTGCAGCATATTTCTTTGTATTTTAACATATGTACCTTATAACCTTGTAGTCCTAGAAGAAGGGCCAGAATTACTTTCAAATAATAATCTTTAGTTTGTCTAGCCCAGCTTTCTGTTTCGGTGGAAGTAAAAGTTACAGTTAAATTTCTGTGGTATGGTCTATGTCAATGCGGACATCAGGTTCTTCCTCCTCACTCACTGTGAAAGGCAAGAAGATCACCTGTTGTGACCCAGAATCTAAGGCTTTCTCCTCTTTTTCTCCAGTTTGATTCATCCCTTGCTCAAAGCAACATGCAAAAGGAGGCCTCAGCTTCTCTCAAACTGAGAACACTTTAAAATAAAAATGGGTGAAGGAACCCCTCCTCAATTGTGCCTGTTGAAGTAACTCTCTCCCGGGTGGGTTACCTTAAGGTTTTTTTTTTTTTTTTGCTGTAGAGCTTATGCAGATGCCTGTTGAGCACAGGGAACATGTTCTCTCAGGAAAAAGAAAATTCCATGTAAATATGCATTAGCAGCAGGTAAAATGTAGAACCTGAATCACTAAAACAATTTCTATCTGGCAGAGACAGCAGTGAACAAGCTTTGCCGCAAAGCTGCTGCCTAGCATTCCTTATACCCTTCACCAGGCACTATTGACTCGAAGTGCAGGCAACTATGGATGCACCCCTGATTACAGAGCACCAAATTTGTTAAAGTATTTAGGTGCCTAACTCCCATTGATTTCTGTGGGAGTTAGGCGCTTACATACCTTTACAAATCTGGCCCTGATTGCTTAGAGCAGGGCTTCCATAAGAAACTCTGTCTGGAACGAGCTGGTGAAGAAGTCAGTGGTTTCCTTTCTTTCTGCTCCTTCACCTTCCAACTCCCTCTTCTAGTTTGGCCTTGAGTCTCTTGTTCTTCCTCTATAGGATGTTTTCTCTCTACAGATCAAACCACAAAAAGGTAATTATAAGGAACCAATCTGGAAAAGCAGAGGGAGAGTACACAGAGAACAGAAAATATTGGATGGTGATTGATTGTCATCCTGAATGTCTGGGTGAGGAGGAGGAAACAGCATCCAGGTTGTCTTGACCAAACTATAGAATGTGAATTAGCTGGTAAATAGGAATATATTTCCCCTTTCCTTTGACAAACAGTGGGCTAATGGTAAACCACAATGTGTTTTGTTAACCTCTTCACAAATCCCAAACCACCAGCACCACATTCCTCCTTCCTTCATGTTAAATTTGGAGCATCCCTCTGCCTTGTACCAACAAGGAAAACAAAGTTGTGCAAAAACTAATAATAGATGTTGAAATAATATTTGTGGCTTCAAAACTAAATAGTCCAGAGTTTAAGCACATATCTTTCAAAGATACAGCTGTACCAATAATTATTAATATTTTAAGACAATTTTATAAATATATGTTTGAACAGTTTAATCTGATATTTTCTCTGCAGATGATTCAGACCATCAAGACTCTGATTGAAAATGCAAATAGTGTATATGAGAAGATAGTACAGTGTCAGAAGGCTGGTAAGTGCAGGCTCTCTTTTTGAAAAATTAAAATACAGTAAGGCATTTCTCCTATATTTTCATTTTTTTACAAAACTTGGATTGGGTTCATTTATTCTACTAATGCACAAAACAAAATTATTTGAATTCATGCAGGCACGAAAGCAGTAAAAATGGACCTTCCTAATATTGATTTCATAATGGACAGTGGGGTCTGTGGCGTTCCAACTGAATTTTGGAAATCATTCTTTTTAATCCTTTTAAATTTTATGATTGGACATATTCTATTTTAATAAAGCAAAGATAAAGTTTAGAAAATACACGTTGATATATTTATGAATGAGAGATACTGCGCTATTCCTACACACATTCAAGGCCATGCTTTTTAAGTCTAAGCCAGAGGTGTTGCTCAACATGCTGATGTAGGGGCAGGGCACAATGTGCACACAGTGGGTCTAAACAGATGCTACTTTCTAGAACGTACTTTAATGCCAAAGTGGTTAAAGCATTGTGTTTTCTTAATTGTTCATTAGACTGTGGAAAATATAAAATATGCATCACTAGACTTTTGTGTGTTGAGGATATATGAGAGATTAGGGAGGCATATTTTTTACAATAAAACCTGTATCAGGGATTCATGTCTCATCATTTTCAATTTGCAGTGTTACTCAGATATCATATGGTTCATTTGGGTTAGATGAAGCCCAGGAACATCAAGTGAATTGCCACAAAATGCCATAAATTAGTTTAGCTGGGATAAGAACCCAGGCTCTCTTGGCTTCTGGTCATTTGATCAGTTAGCATCCTGCATCCTTCTGAAAAGAAACACCTAGAATATGTTGACTGAGTAAAGAATTAAAGTGAATAGATTCCACTAGAAAATGAAAGTTTAATGGAGTTTTAAATTTTACATATATATAATCACATAAACTGCAGGTTATATATTCTCATTGCATTGTTTCCATCTTTTATTTTACTTCCAAATAGACAAATTGCTCCAGTGTGCTCTGTATTTTGCTGTTGTTGGAATTATGCCATAGCTGGTCCTTGACAGTTTGAAAGCATTACATTTGTATTGGTAATAGGAGGAGGTTCTATGTTCCGCTTAGGATCACATGGTAAGAAGCTTTAATTCCAATCCCAGATCTGACAGTTATTTCCTCAGTGACCTTGGACAGCTTCCACATCTGCAAACTGAGAATAATAATACTTACCTTACAGAAATGTTAATGTTTTTAACAGTCATGTCATCTGGGAAGTCTGGGGTACATACACCTGGGTATACATGTGTAGGGCATATCTATGGAAATTATGTTGTGCTGTTGCACTAATGTGATGAATCTGTATTGACAGAAGAGATAGAAGTACTGAATAAAGAAAAAAATCCTTGATGTTTGAATCATGTACTGTACTGTATTAGTGTGACAGTTCATGTAAATGTAGCAAATGGCTGGTCTGAAAAGTTGATATGATCGTGTCCAGTGTAAATAAGGCCTGCGATTGTTTGATATGAAGAACAGCTGGAGAGAACTTAGGCCTGGTCTATGTGGTGAGTTAAAGCATAGCAAGCTAGAGTGGGAAGCTGCTGATGCCTTTCCCCACTGCCTCACTTCTGCCAGAGCATTTCACCTGTAACTACGCACAGCAGTGTGGACTCAGCCTGCTTTTTGCTACGGATTGTAGCTATTCGTACACTCTGCACCACTGCCAGTAGTATGTAGTGTAAATCTATCTAGAGAAAATAAAATGAGGGAGATCCTGAAGAAAATCTTTTCAAAGTCAGTCCCTTATATGTTAGTTAAAAAGGGAGGAAAAACAGACACATTAATGGGAAAGGTGAACATTAAAGAGAATAATGCCCTGCATCAGCACTACGCTTTGGAGAGGTACAGTGTGCACTCTTTTCTGCACCTAACTACCTCTGCTGATGAGTGCAGGAGACAGGGCAGGGTCAGGACCATTGCCCCACCTTCACCTCACACCTGGTGAGGAAGCTAGTGCTGCTGACAGGACTAATATGGAATAGTGGCTTTACTCTGAGACACAGCATAGTTGGCCACTGTGCAAAATCACAGGCCTGGGGAATGCTCCTTGTTTCGTCTTCTCCCTCCCACCATATTCCATATGTTTACAGGATCAACCACAATTTGTTCCAAAGTAAATTGCTGGGAAATTGAGAAGAAGGAGAAGAAGGTTAGGGACGTAGGCAGCTTTGCCAGTGGTGATGATGCCTTGAAATAAGCTTTGTTGAGAAGGTTGATGCATAGGTGATGCAGGGTTACATGCCCTCCGAGATTTCTGCCAGGGTGGGAGTTGGGCTGAGCGCAGCTGCAGGGACATGCCTGGGAAAGGCACCCAGAGCAGGGAAGCGAGACCAGGCTGGCAGCACAGCTGTCTGCCAGAGGGGGCGCAGGGAAGCCTGTTGAGTCCCATCCCTTCTTTGCCGGCCACCACAGTTACCTGCTCGAGTACATATCTGGACTAGCCTGCCTGGGGTATGCAGAAGGGAGCTTGGGGAGTCGGGGCAATGGGGGGGGCAGTGGGTACTGGGGGTGCTACAGGTGGGGTGGGGAGCCCAAGGAGTCAGTGTGGGCCTGGGGCAATGGATGGGGGTGTAGGGGAAAGCAGTGAGGGTTTGGGGGAGGCAGTAGGGGCCTGGGGGGATGGGTGGGGGAGGCAACAGGGGATATGGGGGCCAGGGGAGGCAACAGGGGCCTGAAGGGATGGGGGGCAGCAGAGAGGCAGCAGGTAATGGCGGGGATCTGTGGTGGGCTGGGAGAGGAAGCAGGGGCCTGAGGGGATGGGTGGAGAGCCTGGGGAGGCAGTGGGGCCCAGGGCCAATGGGAAGGGATGCGGGGAGGACAGGATGCCAAAATACAAGTTTGCCTAAGGCCCCGTTTTTTCTAAAGCCAGCCAGGGCACTGTGGGTGGGGGGCCAAGAGGATGTTGCTGCAGCGTGCCTTGACAGTCACGAGGAAGTTGACTGTTGCTGTGGTGGCGGGGATGGGGACTACCATTGTGTCCCCCTACTATCAGCAGTTACCAGTCACCTGTGATTTGGTGGATTGCTTACTAAACATGAAGTAAAGAAAATGAGAACTGTTCAGGCCTTCCTGGATCAGCGGGTGCCAAAGCTCAGTGGATAAGCAGATCTCTGGCTGTAGAACACAAGCTGTATCGTCTCTATTTCAAGAATGATCAATCAACACCAGAATTCATCAATAGAAGAAATAATTTACTCCAATCTGTACTAACAAAAAAAAAATGGAATTTCTCCTGCTTTGCATGTATCTTAACTTCACCTTGGCGTTATGTACAAGCAAAAGACATACTTCCAATAATGTTCTTTTCCACTGATACTGTTACTATGCATTTTATGCTTAATTAATCCTACTTAAAATAATCCTGGCCCCTGCCCTCATATGCTACTCTGGCACCATATAGCGTCCATGAAGGTGCTGCAACTAGGTGGGGGAGAATTCCCTATGCTTATTCCCTTGCAATCCCTGGCATAGAGAGTAGGGCCAGGGCTGGGAGGGGGAATCTCTGTACTGATGAAAACTATGAAATTGTGGCCTGCAAAGAAGGGGGTCAAAGGGCTTGATCTAATTTATGCTAGTACTACACCAGCTGCCACCTGACCCAGGATCTGGGCAGTATAAAGGTGGTTTGAAGCCACCCATGAGGTAAAACACAGAATCTGTCCCACTGATTTTTTTCAGAAACTGTCATAGGTATCAGAATAGTTTATTTGCTTTAGAATGACAGCGTAGTCAATGGAGTTCATACTACCCAAAGTATAAGCACCTGTTACAGATGCCTGTAAAGACAGTCTTCCCATTCCATAAGTAGTGTCACATTCCTATGCAGCCTTTCCAACTTATCCAAGTACTTAGGGTCAAGTGTCTTTATCTTTTGTGTTTTATATTTACAGTTAGCATAAGAAAAATTAGTCAAAGAAGTGCAAATTATTGAATACTTCCCATTGACTGCATCTGTAGGCAAGATCGAGCACTATAAAACCCCTCTAAGTATGACCAAAAGGACATAAGCATTTTTTTCCTTACAAAAGATAATAGTGTTTCTTGCCATAGAGCTATAATCCTCCAAAGTCAAATGTAACAATATTAGTCTCTTAATTCAGCAAGAGGAAGATTATTTTTAGGTTCAGTATAATCAATTCATTATACAAGCTTAGCAGTTTCTTCTATTGTAGCATCTATGGGTAAGCTGTATTTTTCATTATCCATTCTGCTAGCATCTTTTACAATTCACATTTTTTTCAGTTTTGGTTTACTTATTCCTTCAGAACTTTTAAGAACAGTAAAATGGAAATCTTAAACAGTGTTAACCACATTAGTATCGCTTATTTGGGGAAAACAATGACCTTGCATGATCCAAAACAATGATGACAGGCACTAAAAGTGTTATATACTTTTTGCTGAAGCTTCTGCACAGATTCTCAAATTATGGTCTGTGGACCAGGGGTGGTTCACAGAAAGGTGGTGGATCACTAGGTGCAGCTCTCCGGCGTGTTTCCAGTTACTAAACTCCATTAAAAGTTGCTAAAAAATACATGCTGTCTTAATATTACTCTTCTGTGTAATTATTTGCTGTGGTTGTTAGAGGTAAGTTATCAAATACAAATGGGGATTAGTCTGTATAACTGAGATCAGGTATTCCATGAGACAATCTATATTGTACACACAAAATATAGTCCTGACTCCAAATTACAGGAGGAATCTGGTGTTCGGTTGTTTGGGGGATTTTTAATTGTAAAAAAGAGAAGAATTGGGGAAGTTTCCTTTTATCTTTTTAATCAAAGCGTCCCTAATACTTCCCTGTGGAAATAAGTGCACAATGAGTGCATGAGGAGATAACAAACCCATTGGTTCAGTGCCTTGGTCATAATACATTGTTACTTCATTCACTGAGTTTAGTAAGAGAATACTGACAGGCTGTTAACTGCAGGTGTGATTGTGCTGCCGTAGTGTAAGATTGTTAATGGTGAGCATTTCAAA